GGGGGGGGGGGGGGGGGGGGGGGTTCCATTCATCCACAACACGGCTCTGACCAGCAAATGAACTAAACCATCCCCACAAACACAGTTCAGGAAATGCTCTGGCTTAAAGCTTCCAGCTCCGAGAAGCAATTTTCCCTGAATCCTTGGGGATTTACTTCTAACTTTTCCCCTTTAATGGATGAACCGGAACCTACACAAGGAGATGCCGGTGGAAAAAGCTCGCGAAACACATGGAGAGACCTGATGGAGTCTGCATGGCCCCGGCAAGACGTGGACTCCAACAACGAGCCTCTTTCAGCTCCCCGGCGCGTTGGGATAAAGTCGGTGCCAGGGCGCTGTTTGCAAAAAGGACGAGGAGCAAAAACAAACCTTGCTGTTTAGCTTACACATCTGGATTTCATAAAGGCTCGGCACTTCTACGTAGTTTTAGCTGCAGCGCTAGGCTAAGCGTGGTCCGCGGCCCAATCAGGAAGAGGCAAGGGCCCGTTTGTGGTTTCTTCCCACCACTGGTCCAGGTCAGAGTCCGAAAAAAAAAAAAAAAAAAAGGGTCTTAAAATAGTTCTGGCCACGCCGGACAGAGCACACGGCACATTAAGGAGCAGATATTTATGTTTCCCATAGTGTATTTTTTCAAGACCTCAAGCTATACGGAAAGAATATGGGCACAAAATTAGGGGGGGAAAAAGAAATGGAGACCACGCAAACTACAACAACGCGGGATTTCGAGCTTTAAAAAAAAAAAACTATTTTAAAAAGTAAGATTTAAACACGTTGTTCCAGCTAACCAAAAAGATTTTTTTGCCATACAGCGTACCGTAATCGTGACAAATTTCTGAAACTTAAACAAACAAACCAAAAAAATCAGGTGACTGAACACCCCCTTGCGAAAAAAGGCCGAAAGGCCAATCACATCGAGCCAAGTTTCCGTGTTTTTACCTCGGACTGAAACCCATTTCTGAAAGCAGCTGGCACTTTAGGGGTGTGAACCCACTGACAGCGAGTTTAATCCGAACAATGCGTCATTCCCCCGCGAGGGGACGGCCACGTAAACTTCCTGTTTTAGTTCAAAGGGGGAACACAAGGGTTATTTGCATGGAAGGCGTCCAAACTACACCAAAAAAAAAAGGCACATGGATGATCAACATGCTTTGGGTCTACTGGAACTTAGCCAACCTTTGACTCACACACACACCGGAGGGAAAATGTTCTCTATTCTTAAGTCTCTGGTTTACAAGCCGACGAGTTTGCGTTGACCTCGCGGATTGTCGAACACCGGGGGGGAGGAAGCGGCCGCGTCAGAGAATATTATAGGTGCCAATAACCGGGCAAAGGAATGCCCCTTGCTTGAGAGTCCTCTCTGTCGAGGGGCATCGTCCGTGAGGAATGAAATGTGACACTGGCTGTCAGGGTCTGTTTGGGAAACTCGCCGTTAGTCAGCCGTAGACGGGGTAGGGGGGGGGGGGATTGCTGCGGTACAAGGGCAAACTGTGTGGGTGAGCGGTTACAGAGACCGTCCTGCGCCAAGGCGGTTGCAGGGTAGTTTGGAGGGACCGAATCCCCCATTCGGGGGCACCTCAAAGGTCCTCAGTTGGGCCTCTGCCCAGCGGATGGCGGACGATTGGCAAAGCGTTGCGCGAGGTGACCAAAACCGTCCGATTCAGCCCCCGAAATCAGGCGTCCCTGTCGGAGTCACGCGGTGTTATATCGCTTTACCCTCACAAATGTGGAACCTGCCTTTATAAGCAATGCGTTCTGATACAAGGACCTCTTTGGCAAAACCTTGTTTCTACGGTGTTTCTGGACAAAATATGTCAATTGAAAAAAATCTAAGGCGCATTCAGTCATCTGCAGAAATGACAGTCGGCTCCATGTTCTGTAGGCCGTTCAGGCCTCGCTGACGTACATGAATGAGATTAGGACCTTCTCCCACTCAAGACTTAATCACCCGCTAAAGCGCGGTGGTGTCAGCTCCCATTAGGCACCTGTTGAGGGAAAAAGGCCTGTGGACATGCGGGGGGCACCGGGGAGCCGTCTGGGAACACCAACCGCGACGGCCATGCCATTCACTGGTCCTCGCAGACACCAGCCGCCGGTCCTCAGCCCTAAACTATGGCCGGGTTGGCTTTAAAGGGTCAGAAACCAAGACGGCACGTCGTCATTTCCACACGGTTTCTGGGTCTTTTTCTAATCCAGACAACGAGCCCTAACTGGGATTGACACGGGGGTGCTACACCTTAGCACGGGGTTAGCGGACGGGGTTTTCCTGTGGTCAACCCCCCATATATATCCCACGGACACCCTAAATTGAAGAAAAGATTCATAAGAACCGCAGGTGGACTCGACCCCAGCCTGTTGTGTCCTGATTAAGGTCACTTCAATTACTCCACCAGTGATTAGACTCATCCCAGTCTGGCCTCATCAATGACTTGATACACAACATGCCCGGTCTCCTTAAGCACTCTGTCAGCCTATGTATGTGCAGCCAAAGTTAAAAAACAAAACAATTAATCTTCATTAAATGTCGACGTGGACATTTTTTTTCCCAGACGTTGCCTTTTAATTGTGGTTTTTCTGCGTTTTAGTGTGCTTTCTTTTTTCATGGACAGGTTTCTTCTGGGGTTGAAATGGTAGGATGCAAATGCAAAAAAAATAAAATAAATCTATTTCACATACTGGTTGATTCCCCTTTCACTACTCATCGTTTTTGCCTCCAATATCGGGGAAAGAAAAAGAACTCAAAGAGGACGAAGGCTTCCCGCAACAGCAACAATTACACGACCAATTAGAGATCTCGGAGCGAGGCGTTCCTCTGCTGATGCAAGGTGTCGCCCCCCCCCCCCCCCCCCCCCCCCCCAGCCCGCGCCGCCGGGGCGGAGGGGCTTCTGGAAATACGCGCAACCGGGGATGATTCCGATTCCGATTCTGACCACCCCTATCCCCCAGAAAACCTGCATTTTTTTTTTTTAAGGGTCAAGTTCAAAATCAGGTCGCCTTGCCTTTCCACGTGCGTTCGAGCCGTTTGGGCTGCGGTAAACGGGCCGGTTTGAGCCCCCGTTAGAGGCGTGGAGCAGAACAAAAGGCGCAGCGGCGGACAGCGGCGCACCGGGACGCAGCAGGCGTAATCACAACCCCCCCCCCCCCCCCCGCACCCCCATCCCCCTCACAGACACACACTCACAGACACAGACACACAAGAATGAGCTGCTTTTTCCCCCCTATGAAAAATAAATCGTCGATCTTTACTTTAAAGGAAAAATAAATAAATAAATAAATGTCAAGTTACAATCCAAACCGCAGGGCCACTGAACACGTCCACATCCACACGACTGTACACGGACCCAAAACGGGCTCTCTCTTCCCCCCCCCCCCCCCTTAGCTGAGGATTAGTGGACCTATATGCCAACATGGACACAAAGACTTCAGCAACAACTTCCAACTCTCGCGTCCGCTTCAAAGCCTTCCCGACTTCCTCCAAGCGGGCCTGTGAGAGCGACCCAAAACGCCACAATTCCCAGTAAAAAAAAAAGAAAACACAAAAAAACACACACACAGTTCTCTGGTTCTTACCTGCGCCTTGGAGCTGCTCAGCGGCACTAATACCCGGGTGTGTGAGGAGGAGCAGCTAGTGACGAGGAGGGCGGTGTGTGTGTGTGTGTGTGTGTGTGTGTGTGTGTGTGTGTGTGTGTGGGGACTCTAAAAACCCCGCCCCCTTCACCGACCGTAAACGCACCAGTAGGAGCGCAAAGGAGGCGGGGGGAGGGAGGTAGATAATGAAGCGTGTGCGTGTGCAGTGCGGCATCTTTGGGGATGGGACTATAGGCAACAGATGCACGTGCTCACGAACGCGCACGGACGCACGCGCACCGTGGGGGGAAAAACGGTCAGGTCCACCGTTAGTTGTGCAGGGCCGAGTCCCGTCCACGCTGAGCTTTGGGGAGCCACAGGGGTGTGGCTGTTGCTGAGGAAATTTTTGGAGAGGAGAGGGAAGGGAGGGAGGGAGAGAGGGATGGGAGGGAGGGAGGGAGGGAGAGAGAGAGGGAAAGCGATCAGAGGGAGGGGTCTCTCAGCTCCTGTCCCCTGCAGGTGAGGCGTGGCGGGATGCTGTCTGCTCTCTCCTCTGGTACTGATGTGGGTTTGGATTTTTTTTTGGTGGGTGTTGCATTCAAATGCATCAACTTCTGAGGCCAAAATGAATGAATGAATGAATGTATGTTTTAGGCAGAAAGATGCTGGAAGTCTTCCATCAACGGTGAAAGGTCTAAAGAGTGCAAAATCTGGCTGATGATGAAGATGCTTTCTGTGTTCTGGCCACATTCAGCAGTCTGGTTTTTTTTTGCTGTTGCGATGACTCGATTGGAAAAACAGAGCAGTTTTTTTTCCCGGTCTCGACTGTGCGCGTTTGCTGCCCTCTATCGGCCGAAGCGCGACAATGCACGACAAATAAATCCAGAAATTGAAGCCATCCAGCCAGACAGTCATTCAAAAAAGGCCACGTTTATTTTCCCAAGTCAGTTGTGCGATTTTAATGGAGTACACAGAAACTGGTGAGGTTCTTTTTGTACCCAAAACATACATTCAAACAAGTTAGAAAACTCGTCAAGCTGCAGGAAAGTGCAGTTAAAATGAAGTAGCTAATATTTGTCCATGCTGAAACAATTAAAACAAATATGGTTAAACCATCAATAGAGCACACACTTTAAATTAAGCGATTTATTCTAATTTACAGGGTATGGAAATATCTATTTTACACGTCTTGATTACATTTACAGTGCGAGTGTCAAGATCACTAAACACACAAGTTAGGAGCCGTTACATTTACACAAGATGTCTTTAAGTCAATTTCTACAGCTCATCTGATCATTCACACAATATACAATTAAACTCGCCCGTATGCTCCGGCTGTCTCACTTCTGGCTGACGATGGTGCGTGCAATCAGCTCTTTCATGATCTCGTTGGTCCCGCCGTAGATGGGCTGGATGCGCGAGTCCACGAACGCCCTGGAAAGAAAAACAAAAACGAACGTGTGTACGAGCTCGTGGGGGAAATGCTGTTGACTACTCCCGGTCGCCGGCGTGCGCCGCCTCTTACTTGGCGATGGGGTACTCCCACATGTAGCCCCAGCCTCCGTGGAGCTGCAGGCACTGGGTGGCCACCTTGTTTTGCAGATCGGAAGCCCTGAGGATGGAGAAATGTAGCATTGGACATTTTCTTTTAAGATTTCGGTTTTCACCCAGCTTCCCCGCGTGCTCTCCTTTCCTCACCAGTACTTGGCCATGGAGGCCGTGGAGGGATCCAGGCGTTTCTCGGCCAGCAGCTGGAGGCAGTTGTCGATGAAGGCGCGTCCCACGCAGATCTCCGTCTTCAGCTCGGCCAGTTTGTGCTGCACCGTCTGTGAAAGGACGGCAACAGTTTCCCCACGCTGCACGTCCTCAAAAGCTCCACCCCTTTTACACGATCCCTCACAGAAACCACCCACTGTTTAGCTAGTTCCTCAAATTTCATCCAGTCCAAGCAAATGGCCGTACAAGCTAATATTAGTAACAATCTAACTTTATTAAAACATAAACTGACCTGAAATAACACCTCAAGTCAGCAAACAATGTTAAAATGATGGGAACAAGAGACGTAGTAGTGTAACAAAGGCAGTGAAAAACAAACCAGCAAGACCTGGAATGCAGCAGCAAACCGCATCCCGATAAGAAAGTTTGTTCTAAAAGTCCATGAAAGATGTTACAAATAACATGAACAATCTGAAACGGATGGCACAGAACACACCGTTTTCGATGGAACGCTGCTCCAACTTTAAACCCATCCTGACAAATAAATGGGCACTCCCGATCCTAAAAGAGCAGCCGGTAGGTCTGTAGCTTTTATCAGCATATTGGAGTGTGTAGAGCAAATATCAACTCCGCTCATGTTTGTTTTTCGCCGATGAACATGTCAAAAGGAAAATATTTAGTACTTTGTGGTGGTTTTTCATGCAGACCTGTAGGTGAGCGATGGTCTTTCCAAAAGCCTTCCGCTGCAACACGTAGTTCCTGGTCTCCTCGAACATGAACTCACAACTTGCTATGGCCATGTCTGCAATGAGGAGCCGCTCCTTGATAAAACAAACAAAAAAAATGATGCGTTATATTGTGGTCATACTAACCACAGTAATCTTATGGCAAAGATAGCTAGTGACTTGGTTGGAGGCGTTTTGGTCACCTGTGGCAGCTCGTTCATCAGGTAGTAGAAACCTTTGTTGAGCTCGCCCAGGAGAGCGCTGGCCGGGAGCCTCACGTCCTCGAAAAACAGCTCAGCCGTGTCCTTTGAGGAGAAAGGCCGGGCGTTGAATCATCGGCCGGCCTTGATGGACGACTGAGCGCGGTACGAGTGAGCATACCTGTGCCTTCAGTCCAATTTTGTCCAACTTGCGCCCTTTCTGGAAGCCCTTCATGCCCTCCTCGACCAGGAAGAGACTGATACCGTGCGCCGCTGTCTTAGCTTCGCGGTTGGTCACCGTAACCACCACCACCAAATCGGCCATCCAGCCGTTGGTGATGAACACCTGAGGAGGAGAAGGGTTGAGCCGCAAGGTAATACTGAGATAAAATTAAGCTTAAAAAAAAAAGAAAAAAAAAAAAGTTGTGCCAAAATACCTTGTTTCCATTCAGGATCCAGTCACTACCGTCCTTCTTGGCGTATGTCCTCACACCCTGGAGGTCACTGAAAAACAAAAAACAAACAACTTGGTCATTAACTCATTGGCTGCCAAAGACGTCTATAGACGTCAAATCAAATACAACCGTTGACTGCCAAAGACGTCTATAGACGTCTTTTATGTTTTTCAACGAGAGTGGCTTGGGGGACGATCTGCTAAAGCTTGTCCGTAAATATCGGCTTCTAGACAGAGTATGTACTAACAAATTGACCTTCTAGGTGGCAGTGCCACTTTTGATGGGAGATGAGCATAGATTGTAGGCAAATAAGAAAAAGGCGACATGTTCGCTATGAGAGAACATGTCGCCGGTGAGACGCAAGTCGAGGAAGAACGGAATAAGGTAGAAACAATTTTTTTTTTCCTGACGAAAGAAGAGAGTCTACTCTTTCTTTTGGTGTGTTCAGTGTTTACATAGTCATAGCACAAACTATTCTGTGGCTCTTGAAAAATCAGTCAAAATGCTCAAAAAACTCTTGCAGTATGGGACTCTCTGTTCTGAAAATGGCTGGCAGTCAATGAGTTAATTAGCCACACAATCACAGATTCTTCCTATAAGCGGAGGGCGCCGCACCTTCCCGCTCCCGGCTCGGTCATGGCGATGGCGCCGATGCATTTGCCGGCAGTCATGGTGGGGACGAAGCGCTCCACCTGCTCCTTGCTGCCGTAGTTGACGATGTAGGGCATGACGATGTCAGAGTGCAGGGCGAACCCCGGGCCAGTGCAGTTGCAATACATTCTAAAGAGGAAGATACCAAAAACAAAAGAAATCTTATTTCCCCAAATGCACTGTTAGAACTCGTACAGTCGTTAAATCGAAACTCACTGCTCCTCCCATGTTATAGCGGTTGAATACAGGTCTCCCCCGATGCCGCCGTGCTCCTCTGGTATCATCACTCCCAGCAGGCCTTGCTCACCAGCCTTCTCCCATGCCTCCCTGCTCACCTGACCTGCCTTCTCCCACCTAGGGACAAGGACCATGGATTTATTAATTCATATATATATTTTTTACCCTTTTTATCCAGCTTCCCATACCAATGACCGCCTGTTTTGACCCACTCTTTGTGATGTGGAACCACCTCCTCTTGGAAGAAACGCCGGACGCTCTGCCTGAACATGTCGTGGTCTTCGTTGAAGATGCGGCGGGTGCCGATGTCCATGAGGCTCCTGGCGTTGGAGGTCTCGGGTCGGGCCGGGGAGACATGCTGCCCGTCCTCCTGGGCCTGAGTGTGCTGATATCTAGAAGGATATTTAGAGGATGACGCCACCACAGCTGATGCCAAAATCCAACTGCCGTAATCAAAATTGATATGGTTTTCTATAAGAGTATATTAAAAAATGGCTGCAACCAAAACTCAAAGAAAAAGAAAAACAACAAATCACCATGAATGAAAAAAAAAAAAAAAGAAAA